ACTGCTCAATTCACTGTCATTTAAGAGTTAAATCACTTTGTTTCTGTTTATGCAGCCCTAGCCACGCCACCCCTGGCTATGATTGACAGAGCCTGCATGAAAAAAAAATAAACTGGTTTCACTTTCAAACAGATTTAATTTACCTTAAATAGTTGTCTCAATCTCTAAATTGAACTTTAATAATAATTAACATAGCAGGGGATAAGAAAATCTTAATTAAACAGAACTTGCAATAAATAAAGCCTAAATAGGGCTCTCTTTACAGGAAGTGTTTAATTTCAGGTCATAAAAGTGTAAAAATATTTATCACCATACTTGAAGTATATACTATATTATCACTGTATTAATTGTTTACAATTGACTTACAAGAGAGTAAGATATATATATATATATATATATATATATATATATATATATATATATATATATATATATATATATCTAGGATATGATGCCAGCAGAGGGCTCTATCTGTGTTATCTTGCTCAGACATATTCAGGTACATGAATCCCGTAGAAATCCACCATTTATTTATTTAATACCCTGTGGTTTTATTGATTTTTAACAGCAAGGTTTCACGTTCCCACTAGCTGATTGCTGCATTACAAAACATTCATGCTACAAGCAAGCACATATTCTAACCTTAATAAGTTTGTTGCTACAAACGAACACGTTTTAAAGTGTCAAAGAAAGTGACAGAAATACTGTAAAGGTATATAGAATTGGACACTTTTAATAAACCTGAAAATCTATGTTTGCTTAGAGAAAATAAATTCATAAAATAACCCCATGAGCTCGTTATGCACTTTAAATAAAAATTTAGGCTGAAAACATTACTGGAAATTCAAAGACGTCTAATGGTTTCAGACTGAAACACAACAGAAATAAGATAAACATTCTATGTTACATTATCATGACTAATGAAAATGTTCTGGAGGGTGCCCGAGGCATTTATTTTCAAGGCTTCCAGTTTTAATTATCCTGATGTTGGAATTCATTATTCTTGTAGGATACACTGTAACTTTGAGTTGCTAATGTAGGAGCCCAGTTTTGTCTCTGTAGCTTAGTTTAAAGCTTAATAAATAAATATTTTATATGTATTGGGTGACTTGAATCAACACCACAGCATGTAAAATGGAAACACTTTTATGAAATATGCCCCATAGCAATAAGGATTTACACCAAAATCAAAAATGCACAGCCTGCAAGTCATTTTGAACTTGCAAAGCTTTGTGAAATAGCTTCCCAGAGTACTGCTAACCTTTATAATTGCACTGATAGGGAGAGAAAGAGAGCCAAAAATGAGAGCAGAAAGTTACTTATCTGTTGGTACGCTGTATTACCATTTGATGACAGTAATACTGGGTAGCTAATGTATACAAAATAGCTTTGAGAATATCGAAATAGAACACACAGTTTGTCAATGGAACATTGCCTATTAAACTACAGATATCTTAAATGTAAGATAACAGTTTCCTTGCACAGATAATAGTTTCCTAGCAAACACACACGTCCCTTCATTTGTAAAACAAATAATAAAAAAAAAATATATATATATATATATATATATATATATATATATATATATAATTTATTGTTTATATCAAAAGATATCAAAGTTTTTTTTTTGTTTTTTTTTTCTTCTTTTTATGTTGGATGCTAGGAGTATCAAAGTGTAAGTGCCTATAAATGAAGCGTAAGCTCCTATGGACATTCTCACCTGCATAATAAATTGAGTGCTGACATGTTGTGGTGATCAATGTAGAAAATATGGGCAAAGACAAAACAGTTGAGCACCTGCCAGGAACATTCCACTTTTCCCTATGTTAACTGCTTATTTGTTGCCTATCAATTACTTTTATAATGACTGCACTTTAAAATAAATGAATGCATGTACTTTAGCCTAAACCCTTTTTTTAAATTTCTTTCATTTTCTTTTCTTGTCTAAGCTGCAGTGTGTTTCTTTTCAACCAGAAAGCAGAGTTTCGCTGGGTCAGATCTAATGTGCTCTAATGTAGTGTAAAAGTACGTTTCCAGGATTCACACGACAGCAGGTGAATCCTTAGTGTTTAAGTCTTTTTAACAGTTTCTTCAGTTTAAACCAGAATGTAATGCATTCCTATTATGGAAGACTATTCTAGTAGGGTAAATGTGTAGCAAAATAAGCTAATCAGCTAAAAGCAGCACATTTTTAATAAATGTAAAAAGAGGTCTGGGCACACTGGTTTTATTGGAGACAAAAAGGCAATGTTTTGAAGCAGCAGAGTCAATCCAAATGTAATGTGATAATGACATGCCGGTCAGAATCAAATTGCATAGACTAGGACAGGGGTACACAACCTTCGGCACTAAAGGTGTTGTAAACTTCATCTCCCATAAGGTTTTTACAGCAAAGCATCAAGGGATATGTAGTTCAAAACATCTGGAGTGCTGAACGTTGCCTACCCCTGGACTAGGGGATAAACAAACAACAACCGAATAATATACAACAATCTAAACAATAACGTTTTAAGTCATCTTTGCACATAGCAAACAACCCGGAAGCTAATTCTTCTCTGTGGGCCATTATTTCTGAATCAGGGTGTGACGGACCCTCCGTCAATCGATGCTCCTAGTGCTTACCAAGGACCATCAGCACCGCACCAGACACCATAAGCACTGCATACCCCACGAACTGCAACAGCTTGGTTGGGATCTCGCCATCTCCTACCCACCCTGGACCTACGACAAGGCTCCAGGCTCCAGTAGGTGAACCTCTCTGCCTTCAGAGAGTGTAGCAGGAACAGGTCCAAGGGAGTGTGATGATCATAGCAATCCCTTGTAGTGATATAGCAGTTCCCTACAACATGAGACGAGGCTGCGAGTTGAGGGTAAGAAGGTCTGAGAGTTTAATGGTACAGGTTGGATTTTTATACAGTTTTTCAGGCCAAAGGCACACCCACTGGACCTGATGGAGGACAGGGACACAAGGGACATAAACCAATGAAAACAGTAATTAACAGTACGACACTCCCACATACAGTAAACAATCCCTCCCCTCTGCCTGTGATATAATTAGGTAGTTAATGCATTAACTTAATTATCCACAGGCAGAAAAAAAACATTTTTATAAAGTCCCATAAGTACCCCAAAACAAAACACATCCCCTGATAGCTCTGATCTGGGTGAACAACATATCCAAAAATCACCTAGTTCAGATCAGGGGTTCAGATATTCTATAGAAGTCATAGTTTTGCCCAGGTGAACACAGGATTTCATGCCCAAAACAGTTCCATTGAATCACAGCTAAGTGCCACTGGAGGACTGACCGGGAACCGCGAGGTTCCCCTGAAGTCTATTTGCGGTTTTAGCCCATGCAAACAAGATGTCCGCCACCGCGTGTTCGAATGTCGAATGGCGGCCACTTCGACTGTTCAGGAGCTCAAAGAACCAATGTTTAAAGTCCCAATAGGCACAATTAGGGTATCTCAGCCAAAATAAATTAAAGGGGCCATAATCACAGGGTAAAAGGCTGGCAAGTAGTCCTCTCCAAAGCCCAGTGGCAAAGTGGCTTTCGTCACACAGGGCTATAGAAAATTATAAAATTAACAAACAAGTGTGAATTGGTTAGTTGCAATTTTACTAAATGTAACGAGTGTATTGACCTTCAAGTAATACTAAATCCCCAAACAAACAGTAAAGTTATGGTGTAAATTGCTTACTCGACATTACTATCATAAAAATTGTGTCAGTGACAGGAAACCATATTACAGCATTACCGATTTGTTCAGTAAAAATATTTTTGGGGAATGCTTTTATTGCATTTTGTATTTTGTACACCTGCAGCAATTAATTTTCCCCAGGATCCTGCCATTTCTAAACGTGTAGAAAAACACTCTGCATAATCCATTTCTGTTTTCTCTTACTCTACAGTGAAATATATGCTTTTATTATGTTGTTGTTTTTTTTCAAATGGCATTTAAACGAGCAAGCACAATAAGCAGTCAAGTAAAGGTTAGGAAATATTGATTTATACAACACTTAGTGCAGGTTAAATTAAAACATATGTAAATGTCAATACTGTCTATGGTATATAGTGCAGGTTTTTTTTAGTCATTTATCTGTTTTAATATTTTGTTTTTGGGTTTAGATGACTGCATAGTATACTATTGCAAAAAAAAACAACATTTCTTCAGCACACACACTAAATATATAAAAACTGGGGAATATTATTTTAAATTAAGAAGTATTCACAATAAAGCAAATTGTTTCTTCTAACAGCAATAGTAAAAATCTTTATTTGTTTTCAGTTTCAAATTAGAGAGCAATGATGATCAGTAATATACATGCTACACTCTTTATGAGTGTACCAAATAATAATGAAAACACCTTGTACTCTTACAAACACTACATACTTTTATGTTATATATTTGTTGGGCACGCATACGGATATCCTATATATAAATCATGGGACTGCTCTATTCTGAACTTTAAGATAAATTAAAGGAGCAGCATATGCACCATAACCACTACACTTATTAGTGTACCATGAATACTAATAAAAACATCCCACATATCTGTGCCATATAGCCACTGCACGGGCAAAAGACATATCCTGCATATACACCAAGGGGTTGTTTAATTTTGATCTTGATACTTTTAAGTAACCACTGTCCAGCAGATATTTATGGAATGAATAGTTCATACCCCAAAAGAGTGGGACTGTTCTATTATCTAATAGCAGCCATAATGCTGTGCTGTTTAGTGAACTGAGCTGTGTGTTGTGATCAGCATTTGCAGTCGATACCTTGGCTCTCTCTCAAGGGAGAAGAAAACGCTCAATCTAAACATGTGACATGAGTCTGGCTTGCACAATTTGGACAGATTGACATCTCTAAGTAGCTGGGTTAAAACTGTAGTCTCTGTTTCAACAATTTAGCAATAATCACCCTTTAAGATATCACTTTATTTGAAACAATAAAAGATCTTGATTTTAATCACTTTAAATAAAAGTATAATTGCTCTAAAATCACAGTACCTACAATGGAGACAATTTATATGATCCTGGACATATTCAGAAAGATATTGTAGGGAATAGGAAGGAGCAAAACCAATGTTTTTTTTTTTTTTCAATTTAACTTATTTACTACAAGGAGTGAAAACTGAGCTTTGTCATGCATGCTGTGCTGTAAGTATTATACTCTGAGAAGACTGAAAAATAACATATGAGGGATATTTTATTCCAGAGTTTTTGAATCTCTTCTAGTCTCTAGAAACAACAAGTAGCACAATAACACCACACAAAAGACAGGGCATTGCTATTTCCCTCTAAGGCTTACAATACACCATTATTTCCAATGGATTTTTTTGTTTCACAGTATAAAGGGGACATCAAGTTTGAGAATCCTCGTAGGTGTAGGATTCAGTTACAGTGGCTGGCGACAATGGTTGTATCAGTTGTGATTACTGCTGCTGTTGCTGATCAATATTTATTTCTGTTATTCTGTGTTAATACAAGCTACGTCATTAAATTAATTTTAAAGTAAATTACTTGCTCTGTATTGTTACTATGTGATTTCAATACAATTTTATTGGATTTTACATCCTGATTTTGGAGAGGTGGACAAACTCTATAAAGAATATCCAATCATCTAACATGCAGACACTGAAATGTGCCACTGGAGAATAGAATAATTCTGGGTAGACAAATAAAGAGAAAGATATGTATAACACATATATTTGTTAGACGTTGCTTGTAATTTTATATTTCTGATTCATTGTAATTACAAGCATGGCAATTTAGTATAACAAGTGCAATTATAGAAACGGTAATTAATAAAAAAATATATAAGTAAAAATTGTACTTTCCTACTGAGAAATATATAACACTTAATAAAAGTTGTAAGGTAATAATTACCTTTCTTACAATATAATCTTCCATTCATGCTCTTTTGTGTAAAGAACTTATACAAATGATAATGGAGGTTCCTTTAAATGTGGTAGAAATAACTAATGTCTATAAAATACATAATTGGTTATTTATTGTTGACAGTTAAAGCATTATACGTTATTATTGAAAAGAAATAGATACTTTTTTATAATGTGCCGTTTTTTCACCTTTTATTCCATATCTTTTGTACTGAGTGTTTTTAAATATTTTATACTGAAGGTGCCAAAGCACACAGATACCTTTTTATCCTAACTCGCTCTGTATTATAACTATAAAACTAGGATTTAGAATCTTGTCAATTTCAACCCAGTTTTACTAACTCAAATTGAAAGACATCTGCGGCACACTTGTTAAAGATTAAATGAATAGCATGACACAAGGTTAATCATTTCAATACTTTTGCTAAAAATATGATGGGAAGTGAGGACATGTTGGAAAAAAGGTACACTCATTTTTTTTCCTTTTTACAATGGATTGAATACCTTGCTTCTTTCACATTTAAACGATTACTCTTCGAGGAATAAATTGTAAGGTACAAAAGATATATGCTTTACTAACCTAATAAAATGCAGTTATTAAAATATAAATGCATAGGTGCAGAAAATAAAATCACTGTTATACCGTAAGATGGATAATCTTCTAGAGGAAAGTTTATTCAATGTGGTGGCAAAGTATGTATTTTAAGTTAGCACAACGCCTTAAAATAGAGGGTTTGTACCAATTATATTACTATGATATCAGAAGCCATGACACCTTATTAAAAAGAACATTGTTAGACAAGTGTTAACATTGTGGAAGAAGAGGAATGCATTAAAAAAAATCTGTAATCTTTAATTAAAGCTAGTAAGAAAACAGACAGTGCAAACAATAATTCATTGAAAGAATTGTTTAAAAGGTTAGTAATTTCCTACATTTTTAGACAGTAGAGATGGATGATTTTAATCATCTTGAGACTGCAGCAGATACCCATCATCATTTACCTTTGAAAGTTCTACAGTACAGCCAGCGCTGTATTTAGCGCGGAGCAGACAAAGCATTTGCCTTGGGCGGCATTTTCGGGGTGGGGCAAAAAAAGCTGCCCCTCAAATGCCTGGGCAGATGCCTTGTCAGGAAGAAAAAAGAGGAGTTAAGGGCTGCGCTATTGTACAGAGAACAGTACCATAAAAATAGAGACCAATTGGTTGAAGTGTATAATCTGCAAATGATAAAACCTGGGTATAATACTCTCTATTGCAATTATATAAAAATAAGGAATGAAACAGAGTCCATCCAGATGTTCAGTAAAGATCAAATGATAAGAAAATGTTGAATAAAATCAATAAAAAAAGTCTCACTAATATATGGATAGGGTATGTGTACAATCCTCAGGAGTTGATCCATCCGGGTTGTAGATAATCCGTATATGTGAACATAAAAGAAAACACAAAAAACTGCCAATGGTGAAATATTGTAGCTCCAAGGGTAAAAATAAGTAAAAAGGAGGATTGTACATTCACATTTGATGGAGCTAGGGCCAGCTCTGGGGTGAAAGGCACTTAGTGGTATAATCCCCACTAAAGGATGTACTGGAAGGGTAGGTCCGTCCGTCCGGCTTGGGTTCCGTTGTATTCCACAAGGTATAAGAAACAGCAAATAGTGCTCTCAGTAAGAACAATAAAATAAATAAAATATACTCACAAGAGTAGAGCAGAAAATACTGCTCTATTGCCACAGCGCTGGTGGAATTATCCCCACCTATTGATTTCTGAAAGGTTGTCAAGATTACAGAATGATGCAAAATTACTGAATGATGCAAGATGCCTTGTCAGTCTCTACCTCTGGGATGCCAAAGAGCTGGCCGGCCAGCCACCGTAGACGCCCTCCCCAAGGCTGGCATCTCATAATGAATGCTGGAGCCAGAATATGACATCACTCCTGCCCTGGCATCAATGAGAGGCATGTGAGGGAGCTGAGCAGGGAGATCAGAGCTCCCTCACTGCCTAAATTGACTGCCCACCTGTCAGTCCGGCAGTTAAAGGATCCCCACTGGACTCCAAGGAAATGGAGAATCCACTCTAGCACTCCAACAAAGGTATGGAGGATGGGTGGATTAAAATTTTAAAACAAAAAACAAAATTGTTGGTGTGTGTCTGCTAGTGAGAGTGTGTGTGTCTGTTACTGACTGTGTGTCAGTGAGAGTGTATATGTTTGTCAGTGAGAGTGTGAGTTTGTCAGTTGATGTGTATGTCTGCCAGTGTGTGTATGTGTGTCTGCCGGTGTATGTATGTGTGCCTGTCACTGAGAGTGTGTATCTGCCAGTGAGTGTGTATGTGTGTCTGTCCGTCAATGTGTATGTCTGTTTGTGAATGTGTGCATCTGACACTGAGTGTATATGTGTCAGTCAGTGAGTGTGTATGTGTTTTTGTCAGTATGTGTCTGTCAGTGAGTATATGTGTGTCAGTGTGTGTGTGTGTCTGACTCTAAGTGAGTGTGCGTCTGTCAATGAGTGTGTATGTGTCTTGTCAGTGAGTGTATATGTGTATCTGTCAGTGAATGCATGTCTGCCAGATAGTGTGTATGTCAGTGTATGCATCAGTGAAGGCATGTGTCTGTCAGGCAATGATCATGATGGTTTTTAACAGGAAGAGACATTTAGAAGGCGTGGTGCATGACTTTTGTCATGCCTAAGGCAGGACTAAAAAAACACAATACACCACTGAGTAAAGCTCTTGGGATGAAACATCCATTAGTCTGTTTGCTGTCAATCCATCTGTCCGTCCATCCCTCCCTCCTTCCATTTATCTATCCTTTATGTAGGTTTCTAACAATTTGAGTCAGATAATTAACTAGTTCCCCTATGTTGCATGGGTGTGACTAAAGAAAATAAGAGTATACAACATGCCAGTAGAGGCTGCCCCATCTAAAGGTGCAGACTTATCAGGATAATACAAGTGCTATTTAGGTTGCAAAATGCTACTGGTTTCTATGGGGATTAGCACTTTGTCCTGGAATAGCAACAGTTTTTGCCTTTATAAGTCCCAGGTGTCTAAGAGTAGTATTCTTGAATTAACTAATATGTACGTTCAATAAACTCAGTTACTATTTTTAAGTACTCCTGACTCAATTCACACTTGCACTCTAGAACCTTTACATACCCCAGAGAGTAAGACCATCTTAGTATTTGTGAGATGGATACATTTGGGATGGGTTTGTTCAAGGATTACATTCAAATATATATACAATAACTATATTTGTTTAATATGTGAAAACTTACTTTGTTTTAAACTCATAAATCAGGGAATAATCAAATTTCTATTTATTTTCATGCAATGCATGTAGACAACATGTTAACTCTTTAAGCATATAATTCTACCTTTACCACTGTCATTTATTTAGCTACTATTGCCCACTTGTGGCCCAGCAAGATAAATAGTAATGACAATGTCTCTGTTATTGAACCAGGAGAAATGGGAATTATTTTTATGATACCATCGCTCCTTTGCCATTCATTTCTGTACAACATGATTCATTAGTGGTTTGCTTTCCAATACTATGAAGTGGCAGTAAAATCTTCAGGTTCTCTCCTGCTTAGTAATTAATGATTTGTGATGAGTGGTGGTTGTGTATCTATGGGCTAAAGTGACAAAGACACACTTCTGGAGTCTATTGCCTTTTTTATGACCCTGGGCACAGTAAATTATCAGAGGATCAACAAATTAGGATGATAGGGTAGCAGAAAATCTAAATGAGATATTGTCATTTTGGCTGTTTTAAAACAAAATTCTTCACAGATGTTAGTAGATTTATCACCAGTACCATAGCTTGAAACATTAAAATTATTTATGAACTAATTTAAAAATGGTAGTTCTTCTGGTTAAACATAAATAAGGAAAGGCTTCAAGTGTGTTGCATTATTAAGTAGGAATCACAGTAAGCCGAACAGCAATGCTGTCGTTTGATAAGTGCATAATGAAAGCAGATCAGTTTCTTAACAAGTTGTTTTTTTTGTTGTTTTTTTTCTGATTGTTATGCTTGTATTGAGAGATTGAAAGTCTTAAATCTAAGAATGAAGGATAATCGCTAGCTAAATGAAATCACTGTTAGAGGGTAAATATATATGCTTATGCTATTATAGCATATAATACTATAGGCAGAATTAAAAAGGTTAACTCTCACACTGGCCATTGTCGAATGTTAAGTTAGTGATGAGTAGAAATTCACTCATTGAGTGTGCCAAGGACCCTTTGGCCTTACTGTGGTGACCTTAAATTATTATAATAGATATGTTATTTTTACATTAAGAGAGAGAGAGAGAGCGAGAGAGA